TTTGTTTTCTGCTTGGGTGGGGGAAGAAATCTGGGTAGAGGGAAGAAATCTGGGGGGGAAAGAAATTGGGAGGAAGGGGGAAGAAATCGGGGGGAGATAGAGAGAATCTGGGTAGGGTTTTTAATTTTTTTTAATTTATAATTTAATATGTTTAAATTTTTAAAATAATTTAAAATGAAATGACCTGACCCAAATTCCACTTTGGAATCCGGGTCGAACCCTGTTTAAAACTGACACTTGGTGGCTGTGGGTCGTGAATGACCAAAAGGCCCTGAAAACAAAACTACAAACTGAAAGACTCTAACTCGTGGCTGCACCTGATAACTGTAGGCTGCCTATGTACCCTTTCTGAGGGATCAAGCCACACGTAGTTATTTCCTCTGTTCCTGATCTGCACTAGTTTGTTTACTGTAAAACTCGCTCTAGGGCTGACATTCCTGGAGTAACTGGGACTCCGTTTTATGATCCGTCAAATACTATACAATCTTGGAATTACCTAGATCAACATACCTGAACATGACTACGATCCAACGGCTCGAACCCGGAACTCACACACTAGGCCAGATCCGTTCAGGGTTCAAACGGTATCCGAATTAAGATCCACAAAATCCTACGGGCTCGTGAGGACTAAGGGATTATTCTAGGACTAATTGTGGTCCCCCCCCTGCTGCCCACGCGTCGCCACACGCGCCGGTAGCGCGTGGTGCCTAAAGCGACAACGCCTCGCCGGAAAAACTCCGAATCACGGCTCAAGGTTCCTATCCCAAAAACTGGCCAGAAGTGGCCGGAACTGTGCTCTCAAAGCCGGCGGAAACCTAACTCGTAAATCGAGCTATCTACGCTTGAAATTTCTGAAATCCTATCCAACCAGCAGCTAGAGCATGAAAAATAGCTATGAAACCATACCTCACTCGTCCAATTTGGTGGCGGATTTCGGCGACTATGGCGGCGGATCGAGGCGATGAAGGGCTGGGGCTGGAAGAGGGAAGTTTGGTGGTTCGTTTGGCACTGGTCTTGCCTGAATCAGGGGTCGGAGCTGAGAGAAAATAGCTCCCAAAGTCAGCTGCTCCAGCCTCTCCCGAATCCAGAAATTTTTGGGTTTATAAAATCTGAACTTCGAAATATTTACAATTATGCCACTGAACTTCTTTTAATTGTAACTCATTCGTTACAACTCCGATTTGAGTCCACTTCATGTCTACGGACTCCTCTCGCTGCGCTCTACGCAACAATATAACTGAAATCTCCAAATTCCTTCCTGGTCAAAAAGTCAACTTTTATACCATTAAAATATTCTAGGGGTATAGTGGTCTTTTATTGGAATAAATTATTAATTAAATATTAATTAAGGACCAGATTATTACATAAAAAGTAAATTTTTTTATTATTTTTTGTCCACGTGGAATCCCACGTTAATTAAAAAATGGGTCCTACAAATGCCATATAGGCAAATAACGGATTTTCTGACGATCTTGCTAACATAGGGGGCAAATTTTAGGTTTTCCGCGATGTTGAGGATGTACTCGTAAAGGTCCCCAAAATCAGGTATGAACTCGTAAATAACCCTATAGATTGCGGGGTTTACTGTAGTTTGTTCTAATATCTATAAAGTATAAACTAATGCAACTAGGAGGTCCTTTGTTCTTTTTTTTTTTTTTAATTAAATAGTCTAGTTGTGCGGTGATACTTATTTTGACACGTGGGCACCTAGTCTAGCCATACGGCTGTACTTTTTTGGACAACCACTGGGTTCCTCTCCTTTTTTTATAAATAGTATCGCCGCTCAGCTATACGCATTTTTTTATTTTTTTGTACACATAGTATAGCCAGGCAGCTATACTCTGTTTTTCTCGTTGATTTTGTTGATCACAACCATATGTCTTAATGGTTTCTGATTTAATATGCATCAGACCATACAAGGTGTCCGTTAAATCTCTCAACAGAATTGGACAATTTCTTTATAATCGACCATAATTAAACATCCATGAGGGCCCAACGTAGAAACAAAACAATACAAAATGAAAAAAATGAATTATGTAGCAAAAATTAATACACATATTTTACCTACACAAAAATGTGCGACAGATCATTAGCAGGTAATTAAGCACTAGCTCTGTGTAGTGATAGTGGAGAAATTGTTGTTTGGTGGACGTTAATCTTTTCCAAATGAAAAATAAGCAAGAATAGAGAGCATCATCTTTGGCCATCACCTGCTGGAATATGTGGAAGTAGCGTTGTAAGGCGGATATGGAAAGCTGTAGTCCATCCCCAAGGGCGACTGTGATTGCATCCTCTTCTGCTATCTCTGATTTTTCGAGAGCAAAAGCTCACATGGTGGCAACTAGAGGGCCTTCCGCCCCTCCAGAGCAGAGAATTCATACTTGGTGCCCCCCTTTTGCCCTGAAAAGTAAAATAAACATTGATGCAGCCTAGTATGCAGATTCTCAACAAGGTGCCATTGGTTTAATTGCTAGAAATCATCTTGGATCTTTTATTGCAACCAAGGCATGTCCTTGTTTGACAAATTAGGCGTTGGAAGCGGAAGCATTAGCTGCTGTAGAAGCGTGTTTCTTTGCTATTGAGCATCAATTTCGTCAGGTTCAGTTTGAGAAGAATTGTAGAGAAGTGATTCGTGGAGTGCAAGGAAATATTTTGAGAGGACAGTGGGAGTTGTATCCTTTCCTCTGTAAGATTAAGGAGCACCTTGGCCATCCAAATTTTGTTGATCTGGGCTTGGTGTCCAAGAACAGCTAATGTGGTAGCAGATCACACTACGACTCTTGCAGGTGCGAGGATGAACCCTGTGACCTGGGTCAATAGACCACCATCTTCGCTAGTGCATGTTCTCAACAATGATGGTCTCCCTTGCTTGCTTGCAATCTGCAAGGTTGGACAATGTAGCCTTAGTGTGGGTGGCATCTTTGTTTATTTGCTTCTTTGCAACTTGCTTGGTTTATGTAGTTGGTTGTTTCTGATTGTCCTGCCTACTGGTTGGGACTTTCCCTGTGCTTTGTTCTTATTTCCGGGGGTTTGTCCCCCGTTATTGAAATATTATTTTTGACAAAAAAAAAAGAGAGCATCATGCATAAACCAATAATTTGTTTAATTTAAGCCTCTAGATTCCTGGCCAACCAATAATTGTGCATCTTTAATTTGTAAACGTGAAGTAATTATGCAATTAAAGAGCATTACTGATGTTACTTGTTTTGAATATTGGCTTAATATCATAGAACGTCCCTAAGGTTTATGAAATTATCAGAACGCATCCTTCATGTTTTTTTTTTTTTGGTCATTTGTGGTCCTCAAGGTTAGTATGTGTGATTACAAATGGTCATCGCCGTTAGGTTTCGTGAAAAACTCTGTTAGTTTGCTGACGTAGCGCATATATATATATATATCACAAAACATCCTTGAGGTTCACGCACCTATCGCAAATGGTCCTTGCAAATTTTTTTAATTTTTTAATTTAAAATTCATAAAATTTTAGTTTTCTTTTTTAAATTTTATAAATTTTAAATTATTTTAAAAAATATATTGTATTTTAAATACACGTGACACTATATTATTGAAGATGTGAGCTCCACATATATGCCACATCAACAAACTAATGGAGTTTTTAAAAAATTATTTAAAATTCATAAAATTTAAAAATGAAAAAAACCAAGGGTTTAGGGTTCATAGATGGTCCTCAAGGTTAAAATCCTTCTATAAATGGTTCTTTCATTTTTAAATTTTATGAATTTTAAATTATTTTAAAAAAAAAACTTCATTAGTTTGTTGATGTGGCATATATGTGGAGCCCACATCTTCAATAATATAGTGTCACGTGTATTTAAAATACAATATATATTTTAAATAATTTTAAAAAGAAAACCAAAATTTTATAAATTTTAATTTTAATTTTTTTAAAAATTTCGTAGGGACCATTTGTGATAGGTATGTAAACCTCAGGGATGTTTTGTGATATATATAGTCCACGTCAGCAAACAAACAAAGTTTTTTACGGAACCTAACGGCAGAGACCATTTGTGATCACACATACTAACCTTGAAGATCACGAATGACACAAAAAAAAACATTAAGGATGCAATCTGATAGTTTCGTAAATCTTAGGGACATTTTGTGATATTGAGCCTTTGAGAACTCCTCAACTTCTTGGTTGGATAAATGCAGCTAAATCGTCGTTCTATAATATATGGTTTAACTCTCACCATATATGGTTGCTGGACTCCCATGGTCGACAATACAGGGAAGTGGAACTGGACCTTGGAGGGCATTGTCCTTTGACATTCGAAGGCTTGCTCAACAACTGTAGATGGTGAACTTTTCGTTTACATCTCATAGAGGGAATAAAGCAGCACATGAGGTTGCTGGCTTTGTTACTCGTTATGGAGGGTCCCATGTGTGGGATGTGATTTGGCCACATTAGTGCCCTTTTGGTTCATGGAATGAATTTGAGGGGAAATCATTTCCAATGTCATTCTCCAAGGAATGGGAATTGAAGATTCTTTTCCCACGTTTGGTAATATTGGGAAAGTAACCGGGAAATATCACTTTATTTCTTTTCCCATGTTTGTTTTGAGTAGAAATGGAAAACAAAGTTTGTATAAATTTTCAATTGTCCATATTAAATCAAATAAAAAAAGAATGCATTTAATGATATATTGTAATTCTAAATTGTTAATGAGGATAAAATGGTCATAAAAAATATGTATTTAATGTTAGCTCATTTTCCCAAACTTTCCCATAAGGAGGGAAAACAAAACCCAAGTTTGGAGGATGGCTTCACTTTTCCCCTACTTTCCCATGAGCCAGACAACGATTTCCCATACCTAGACTTACCAAACATGGGAAATCAATTGATTTCTCATTTCCAAGTCTCCTTTCTCATGAACCAAACGAGGCCTAGATGTTTATGTACTAGTTGAGGATGCAAACCTTGATTTATGTCTTTGAATAAAATCTCCCGATTTTTGGAAAAAAAAAATTCACCATAAATAAACACATAAACTCTCACCTTCCACGACTTTGATCTAGTGCACCAAGGCCCTTCTTGCAATTAGGTACTCAAATGCAAATCCGGTCTAAATTCAAGGACTAATAAAACGATTAACCCAGGACATACAACAATGGACTACCAGAAGCTAGAGAACATAATTGGTTGGTCCTAGGACGGTGTGGAAACCTTCCTCTTATGCAAGGACATGGTGGATGGAGTAGGGATAAGGGATGTCAATAAAGGTAAAACTTGTTTCGAGTCTTTTGCTTATCATGCATTTTTCCATAACACAACGTACATGTCATTCAAAAGATGAAGAACATAAAAACATGCAGCTAGAGAAACAAAATAAGGAAGAGACAGAAAGCTTCTGAATCCCAAAGTATTAAGTTTTAGTAATCTTCCCCTTCACCCTCGTCATCAGCACCTTCTGCTCCAACTTCCTCATAGTCTTTTTCAAGAGCAGCAAGATCCTCACGGGCTTCCGAGAATTCACCTTCCTCCATCCCTTCACCTACATACCAATGCACAAACGCCCGCTTGGAATACATAAGGTCGAATTTATGGTCAATTCGGGAGAACACCTCAGCGACGGCAGTGTTGTTGCTTATCATGCAAACTGCTCGTTGCACCTTGGCAAGATCACCACCTGGCACCACTGAAGGGGGCTCGTAGTTAATACCGCATTTGAAACCAGTTGGGCACCTGAAAGTATCAACATGGAGAACTCATTCATCAAATAAACATTTGTCGTGCAAGCTTAATTTTTAAAAGAGCCTGTGTCAGAACTGCAAGAACTGAAATTATTAAACCAATAATAAAGCAAGTCCCAATTCATCAATTTTGGTGCAAGTATTATTTAGGCTTATATTTTAACGAAACTAGATGTACGGAAGCTCTACTCACCAGTCTACAAATTGAACTGTTCGCTTTGTCTTAATGGTAGCTACAGAAGCATTTACATCCTTTGGTACAACGTCACCACGGTACATCAAGCAGCATGCCATGTACTTCCCATGCCTCGGATCACACTTGGCCATCATACTTGAGGGCTCAAATACAGCACTTGTGATCTCAGGAACTGATAGTTGCTCATGGTAAGCCTTTGCAGCGGAGATTACAGGGGCATAAGATGAGAGCATAAAGTGGATACGAGGATATGGGACAAGGTTAGTTTGAAACTCTGTAATGTCTACATTAATTGCACCATCAAACCTCAAAGAAGTGGTCAAAGAAGAGATTATTTGGGATATTAATCTATTCAAGTTGGTGTATGTCGGCCTTTCAATGTCTAAAGATCTCCTACAGATATCATAAATGGCTTCATTGTCCAGAAGCACAGCCACGTCTGTATGTTCAAGGAGAGAATGCGTGGAGAGCACGCTATTGTAAGGTTCTACAACAGCAGTGGAGACCTGGACATTTTGAGATTAGTTGCTGGAGAAAGCCACACATGCATAGTTTAACAATATTAAGAAATAATCTTTCCTAAGTTTCTGCCCATCACTTATGTTGTCTCTCCAGATGAGAATAACGGTGAAGTATAAACTCTCTAGTTTCAGATTTGGTATGCATAGTGTAATATTAAGAACTGAAAACCCATTAAGTGGAACCAGATGAAAAAAGTGAGAAGATGTGAAAATTAACCGAATGAAAAGCTTATAAGAATTGTCATTCTCAAAGTAGTCATCTTTCCTAAGTTTCTACCAACCATTTATATTGTCTCTACAGATGAGAATAAATCTGCAGTAAAATAACCATTGAAACTGATATTGCATACAAAATTTAAGACCTATCTTTTTCTAAAGATTTATTCCCATGCTAGCAGAACTAATTCGTTAAAATAAAACATTGAAACTGATATTGCTTACAAAATTTATAAGAAAAAGACAAGTTGTGTTGTGTTCATAAATACTAGTTTTAGCAGTAAAAGTTCCATGATTCCATCCAAATCATAACCTGTAAGTTTTTTGAGTATGTACCTGAGGAGAAGGATAAATGGTGAAACCAAGTTTTGACTTCTTCCCATAATCGACAGACAATCGTTCCAGAAGTAGTGACCCCAAACCAGAACCAGTGCCACCACCAACAGCGTTAAAGACCAAAAACCCTTGCAAACCAGTGCAATTATCAGCTAATTTTCTCACCCTGTCAAGGCATAGGTCCACAATTTCCCTCCCCACTGTAGCATTCAACAGAGAAAACCAGTTATAACTAAAATAATAGAAGGAAATGCCAATTTGACAGTGCAATAGAAATTCATATACCTGTATAGTGTCCTCTGGCAAAATTGTTAGCAGCATCTTCTTTGCCAGAAATAAGTTGTTCAGGATGAAACAGTTGTCTGTAAGTCCCAGTTCTGACTTCATCAATAACCGTGGGTTCCAAATCAACAAATATAGCTCTAGGCACATGATTGCCAGAACCGGTTTCGCTGAAGAAGGTGTTAAAAGCATCATGTGCCGCACCAACAGAGGTGTCACTGCATTCACATATAAACCTTCTTAAGACCAGAAACGATCCATTCAATAAATCTCATGGTGAGTTTTTTCTCAATCACGAAAATAAATTTTAACATTAAAATCCATAAATATTAAAGTATACCTGCAAATAAGGAATTGAAAGATGACTTTATAATAATTACTCAAGAACTAGATCACAAATCAAAGTAAAAAAGAGAAAACAAAACAAAATTAAATGCATTGTTTGAGAGATCAGAACAATATTACTACTGAAGACCGCACCAAATACCAGTTATGAATATATAACACACAAAACCACTAAAGAAAGATATCTTGAGTGAACAAGCTCATACAAATCAGCAGAAGAATGAAAATAACATGCATACCCAGACCACTTACAAACCATGTTGTGTCACAGGCAAACTCATAAACAGGCATTCACCAATCAATGGTTAGAAAATTGGGTAGGAAGGTATCGATATAAATAGATGATTCCAAATTGTGTTTCAATTTTGTATCTTTGGATGTTACCTTATGACAGATTAGCAACAGAAGAGAGCCTGATCAATTATGCAAGAAAAAAAGAAATTGAAACTGGCACTTATATTGAAAGGGTAGATTTAGTGGCAAAAGTCTCAACAAGACAACACAGTTACTAGTTCAATCTTAATAGATTCCAACTGTTTTCCCAAATATATATATATATATATATTTCAAGATTCCATTCAAGATTTACAAAACGCAGAGATTAACAAAGTGAGTCTTTTCCTCAATTAACTCCAAAGTTCATTCAAGATTCCTCTAAATTGGAATTACAACAACAATAATGATCAAGAAGTAAAATGAATTGGCATAAGCTTCTTGATCACATTATAAGATTCTTCACATTTCCATTTTCATGAATACCTTTCGATTCAAGCCATGTTTGTTTCCTTTATTTTCTTTTCCACGAAAAAAAAAAGGGAAACAAACAACTAACTAAATGAAACAATGGTGAATTCGGGTTAATCAAATTGTGATCTACTAGATTGTTGCAATTAATTGGCCAAATATAAGCCAATTCCCAATTGTACAAACAATATCTCAAACACTAGGACAATTTGAATCCAAAAACCCAAAACTATTACAATTAGAAAAGATAAAAGAATCATTTTCTGAAGAATATATTGAAGTTCTATAAACAGCACCCCAATTGAAAGCGACAATTACAAAAACTGAAATAAAAATAAAAATAAAAAATGAAAACAAAGAAAACCAAATCAATGATTAATATATACCTCGGCATCATGCCATCAGGTTGAATTCCATGTTCAAGGCAGTAGAGCTCCCAGCAGGCATTCCCAACTTGGATCCCTGCTTGTCCTATGTGTACGCTTATTATCTCCCTCATTTCTCTATCGGATCAATCACAATTACAAATGCCAATGAAAGATAAAGGAAGAAACAATCAACAAATACAATTTCAAAGGATCGACGTTTCTGCTCTTCAATGGCAATTGCCAAGGAAACGATCTCAAATCTCAATCAATGACGACGGACCAGAACAGAGAGTTCACCCAAAAACAAAACAAAATTAACGAAATAAATTATTAGTAGTTGCTACCAAATGGCTAAATTGTAGCAATGGTTCTAAAAAATAAGGCTCAACTTTACTTTTCCCTTGTGTCACAAAATTATTATGGCCATCCTTCAATTCCTCGTGTTGCATTATCGGTTTTTTCATCAATAAAAGTTAATTTTCTATTAAAATTAAGGGCAAATTAGGATATCCAATATAAAATATTTATTAGATAAAGAAACTCATTAAAAAAATCAGCCCAGCATGTGGGGAAGGAGGGTTTAATGATTGGGGAAGTTGATTTAACATCAAGTTGACTTTTGGAGAGGATAAGGAGCTCTTGAGCCACTCAAAGTTGAGCTACACCTCATCGGTTGGAGGCAAGGCAAAGAAAACCATGCTGAAGCATTTTACTATGTCCAGATAAAATTCATCATGGTTTGGAGGGGAAGTGGTTGACATACCAGAGGAGACTTGGAATTTATCACCAAAAGGTGCTGGAGGCTTTGAGCCATCTGGGATGGTTTGGGTTGCTAGGTCGGTGAGGTAGATGGAAGGGCATCTTTGTGGGGAAGAGGATGGCGTGCGGTTGGGTTTAGGTAGAAGGAGGTGGTGGCTAGGTAAAAGTCTTAGTTATCCCTAAAATATTTATCATGTGCTTGACATGTGATCAATTTTGACGAAAAACAAACAGAATTGACGGAAAGAACTAATGGTGCAACGCGAGATCTAATTGAAGAACGACCATAATAATTTTGCAACATGAGGGACGAAAAGTAAAGTTGGGTCATAGTCAAAGGACAATTGCTACAATTTAGCCTTATCAAATATATAACTATTAATTATTGGGTTTTTTTTTTTTCTTTTTCTGGTGGGTAAATATGAAAATATAAAATTAGTAGTTATAGTCCAGAGATCCATTCAATTAATTATTTAACAAAAATGAATATTTTTTTTTAATAGTTTGGGTCCTCCACACCCAAAGCCAACTGTTGCTGGGCTATGTTAACAGATGTTCGGATCCTCTTGTCGCCCCGCACTTTGCATATTCTCATGTTATTTTGACAGCAACAAACAACACAGATATGAGCTTAGTTAAGTTGGCTAGAGCAGATGTGCTCTCCACTCTGCACTAGAATTCGAATTCCCCTTCCCATAATTTAAATGAATTTAAAGTAGATTATCACTTGCATAACAAAAAGAAAAAGCAACAAACAGCAAAACTAGATCGTTTTTGTCATTTCCTCCGTACCTTTTTCTAGATGAAAATGTCCTCCATATCTATTTGGTAGACAAAAAAGTAGCAGATGTGATGGCCGGACCATCATTGCTAACGAAAGTGGAGTTAAGGGACTACATTAGTCATTTTGTAAATTCGAGGACTAAAATGTAATAAAATTGGAGAATGAATTGTTTATTTGATAACTGATTCAATGTACATATACATATGCATATATGGCTACAGCAAAGTGCTATTCTAGGAAATAAGTTACTGCTATGCTAGAATTAAGGTTGATCCATATATGATGGGATTACAATAATTATGGTATATACAATCTCCTAAACGTTGGGGATTTTATTCTCAACAAAATGTAAATCGGACCTAAGTTGAGACGTTTCTTAGCGCGCTTTTCAATCGCTTAGCTTTTGCTAGCGGGGCCGGCGGCAAGGCCATAAAGTAAGTTCAGTTGGAAGCCTAAGTCAAGAAAAGTTACGGGCCCCTTTAGAGATAAGGGTAGGGGAGCGGCTTTCCTGTGGTAGTAATTGCGAACATCTCTCCATGGACTATGAGTGGCAACTGAAAAACCAACAAAATAATTGGGGAATTGGATAAACATAGAGTTTTTTCTATTTAAATCTCATACTTTTCTTTGTTCACCCAAATACTTAAATCATTAAGCTCTTAAGTTTTATTATTGTGTAAAAAGACAAAAAAGGTCATCCAACTTAATATTTAACCCTAGTACATCTATACACACACCCCACCATTCTTCATATTAAGTTTTAGAAAAACACAAACTTCTCTACAAACCTACTACACTCACATCTTCTCTTCACAAAACCTCCTAGGTCATTCTCAATGCTGCTACACATTTGACAACAGTGTTTTTATCTCTTTAAGTAATGTGAGGTTGAGGTAAACTTAGAGTAGTGAGGGGCAAAATAGTGGGGTGTGGGGTGTGGGGTGTGTGAGGTTGATGAGTTTTTAAAATTTTTTTTTTTCTTCTGCTAGATATGTATTTAAGGGGTAGTTTGGGAAAATAGTGAGGTGAACTTAGAATGTGGGGTGAACAAAAGAAATGCAGGTTTAAATAGAAAAACTCTAGACGAGTGCTGCTAAATGAACCTTAAAATTAACTGAGTACTCCCTATGATCTAAGTACACCATAATATTTTAATCAAAAAGTAAAGTTAACTAACTACACCCTATTTAGTTACCAAAAATACCCCTGGTACGCCCTAATGCACTATTACATAACACCCTAATACCATTCAAGAGCTGGTTGTCGAACACTATTAAACCACCAAACCCACCTTGCTGCCAAATACACTATTTTTCATCTTTTGTCTTCTTCATCTTTGTTGTGAGTGAATATTGGGATAACATATTCCTTTCCCATTTTGTTGGTTTTGTGCATTTATAACCATATCCATGTGGATTCCTTCACTTTAATTTTTCATCAAAGTTCTCCATAGCTCCATGTTGCTTCAGAATTCATTAATTCCTATATATATATATATATATATTACTTTTTTCAATATGAACAAGGATTGAGCTGGGTTCTTCACATTCAAAAGTCTCATATTTGAATTTATGAAAAGAACTTAAAAAATAACATAAGGTAAGGGGGTATAGCAAGTCAAAGTTTAGAGGGTATGGTTAAGTTCACCCCTTTCCCTCCTCCCTCCCCCTCATCTTTAATTCAGAAAGAACCATTTTATTTGGTGATCTTATTTATAACATGATTTCATGAGGTGGTCTTCAAAAGATCTCTTGTACTGGGTTGGATGGTTAGAACTTAAAACCAGATATGCAAAATATAGATTAAGATACCTTTCCTAATTTTTAAATGTCTAATATTTTTAATAGATTCTTTATGTTCTTTTTCCTTAAAAATATTTTCAAAGCAGCCTCTGCCGAATCACCTCTTTAACCCTTCGGTGGCTTCCGGCCAAACACCTCTTTAACTTTTGATGGCTTTCGCTTACATTTGATTAGGGTTGGATATGGTGAGTAAGGTGCACTTATTAAAAATACATTTGTTTCACAAGTCAATATATCCTTTTTAGTCATTTTATATTATGGTAAATTAGTAAACTTAGAGTAGTGAGGGGCAAGATAGCGGGGTGTGGGGTTTTTCTTCTGCTAGATATGTATTTAGGGGGTAGTTTAGGAAAATAGTGAGGTGAACTCAGAATGTGGGGTGAACAAAATAAGTGCAGGTTTAAATAGAAAAGGGTTATTCGCAGCAATGGTCCCTCAACTATACCCGTAGTTACATTTGGGTCACTGAACTCAATTATTAGTTGCAGAGGTCACTCAAATATGTGTTTTGTTGCACCAGTAGTCCTTTCGTCAAGTTCTGTTAAATTTTCTGTCAAAGGTGAGAGTAAATTCGGAAATTCAAATTGAATATCAAATAATAAAAATTCCCACAGATCTGCTACACAAAACTTCAAAACCCTAACCCACCAACCCCTCTTCCCTCTCAACCTCTTGATGGTTTGCAAACTAATGGCGAACCGAGTCTAAGAAAGATTCCTCTTGTGCCGAACCTGTGGTTCAACCTTCCATTCTTGTTTGCTCCCTCGAGGAGGTCCAAAGATTCATCATTTTAGCACTTACCCTTTTTCATTTTTGTTTCAAAAGACTACAAATTTTAGCACCCATAAGTCAGATTTAGTGGCTCTTGCAATAGGGTCGGGTTTTAAATTGGTGTATTTGAATTGGGTTCGAAGATTATGGAAGACCGATGTGATTTAGGAGAAGGGTTGGTCTGAAGGTAAAATGCGAGATCTTGAATCTGTTTGCTGGTCTGAAGGTATTTATTATGAATATTTGAAAATATTCTTGTTGCTGTGCGGCATCTTTTTAATTGAATTTTTTGGTGTCAACAAGGATTGGATTGCGGCAATGGAGGGTTGTGGAGGAAGGGGAGGGCTGTGGAGCAAAGGACCATCAGCTTCCTTTAGGGAGCTATCCACAGACTCTTGGCACTTCTGAAATAGCAAATATCATTTACTTCAGCCATTCAATTCGAGGTCATCGCGGTGTTGGTGTGAAAAATAATTTTCCTGAAGTCAGTGTTCGTCTGCTTCATGTATCCAATTGTAGTTATTTGGATGAGACTTCAAATAGAATTGCCATGTAATATGTGTAACAAAACACATATTTGAATTACCTCTACAACTAATAATTGAGTTCAGTAACCCAAATATAACTACGGGTATAATTAAAGGACTATTGCTGCGAATAACCCAATACAAAAACTCTAGACATATATAGCTTACGTTGGAGTCGAGTAGAAAAGACAGGAAACTCGTGAAATAGGAGGCAGAGGATTTTGTCCAAAAAAAAAAAAAAAAAAGAGGCAGAGGAAGCAGAGGACATGGGTAGTGTGAAAGCAGTTGCTCTTATCACCGGAGATTCCAAAGTCCGAGGCTCTCTTCATTTCGTTCAGGATGCCAGCGGTCTCTCACTCTCTCGCTCTCTCTCTCTCTGTGCGGCGTGTGTGCTTTTCTTGGTTTCTTTGTTAATTGTTGGTCATTTAAATATAAACAGGGCCTACACAAGTAAAAGGGAGAATTACTGGGCTCTCTCCGGGCCTCCATGGTTTCCATATTCACGCTCTTGGTGATACCTCCAATGGTTGCAATTCCACTGGTAAAAGATTTCCATCTCTCTATACTTTTCAGCTTTAATTCTCAATTTTCAATGTTGGCTTTTTCTTTAATGGGCTTTAATTTTCTCATTTGTTTTTCTTGGTTCACTGTTGGTAAACTACTAAAGTTTTATATTTTGATGTTGGTTTTTATTAGGACCTCATTTTAATCCACTGAAGAAGGACCATGGAGCTCCTTCAGATAAGGAGCGTCACGCAGGTGATTTGGGTAACGTTGCTGCAGGCCCAGATGGTATGAAAAGTATTGGTTTCTGTGTGTAATGTATTATTGTACACCAGATGGAATGGTTCCTCAGATACATACAGCTCAGTATTTTACTAAATTTGCACTCTGCAGGAGTTGCTGAGGTTTCTCTTAAGGACTGGCAGGTAATTTGATTCATTTTCTGTTCACTCAAATCCTCTAAAATGATAACATGGCGTCTATCTGATATATATGTCATAGGTTATCTACAATGCTAGCATATTATTGCCAATGAAATCATTTTATTTTTTTGGATTCCTGTTCCCCTTTTCCTATAATCTAAGTTCTTGATATCAATTTTAGATTCCACTAAGCGGACCTCATTCCATTCTTGGGAGGGCAGTTGTAGTGCATGCTGATCCTGATGATCTTGGCAAAGGTAAGAATGTACAATTTGTTTGGATGATTGTTTGCTTAATACATTTGCACTTTCATAGCATCTTCTGGAGCTTATATTGCAAAGGTGTCAATCTCATCGCATTTAGACTTTATTATGGTTGTTCTTATCATCACGTGATGAAATTTTTTCCTTCACTTTGTCAGGTTTGTGTCAATCACACTATATCTAAGAAGCATTTGTTCACCTCTTTGATTCAAAAAGTTGTCTCCTTAGCTCTTCATACTTTAGAAATAATTTCACTAGCATATCTCTTATCACTTCATTTTGACTTCAGGAGTTTTAGAAATTCTCAGTGTGTCTGAAATCATGTGTTTTTATAATAAATTCTATGCATTCTTTTCCGGTTTGTGCTGCTATTGTTAATACCATGGATAAGGATCGGATTTTGGCGCTGGTGTTTTTTCGTTTGAATGATTCCATGAGACTGGTACTGCAGTATCATATGGTTTTATCAGATTGCTGTGATGTCCATAGCTTCTAACTTGATTCCTTACCATTATGCTAACATTAATCATATATTTCTTACTTACCCAATAAAGATAGATTGAGATTGAGAGAGATGAAGAGGGAGAGGGTTAATCTGCATCTATATTTCTGTTGAGAAACGGCTGCGTTTATTTTTGTTGAGGAGCTCGTTTTGGAAGATTTTAAATCTGTAATACTTTGGAACTGGTGGAAATGCTTTAATAGGAGGGGAAAACTATGAGCCATCTTGAAGATGAAACTCCCTTTAGGAGTGAAATGATTCATTGAAAGCTTGAAGGGGAGGAACTGGAAGATTATTTCCCTTGGAAATTTTTTAATACTTTGTTTAGGTTATGACAAACAGAATCATGAATTATATCTTGCCACTATGGATTTTCACATGCTTCAAAATATGCTGAGACCTGTGGTGTGGGTTTTAACTATAAATTTCATGTCACCTCCCTCCTCCCCTAGCCCCACACTGCCCACCCCCATCTCCCTCGCCCCATTCCATCTCTCTCTCTCTCTCTCTCTCTCTCACACACACACACACACACACACACACATCGTAAACCATACCAATTGCAAACCAAACAAGCAGCAACGGAAAGCTTCGACTCTGATATACAACCAAATATCATTCAGATATTTTGCGCATTGGGTGTGAGTATAATTGTTAACCACAAGATCTCTGTCCAAATTGGGCACATGAAAAGGCAACATGATGCACATATGCAGGGATGGGAGAGGAGGGAGAGCCAGGGGTAGAGGAGAGGTTGGGTTACCCATTTGGTAGCGATGGTTTTTCTTTCCATGGGGATTGAAACCTTCTGTAGTGACGTTCAAAATATTTTCTTTTGGAAGTCATTAATCCTGTAAGGCTAATTACATACTGTAATACAATTGATGAATGTTTTGTGATTTTGCAAAGCATCTTTTTGAGCTTATATCACAAAGATGCCAATCTTCTCAGAGTTAAAGTCTAAATAAAATTTCATGGTTCTTATTATCATGCCATGAAATTTTATTTCACTTGTGCCATGTTTGTGTCAATCACACAACATTTTATGAAGTGCTCATCCACCTAGTTGAGTCCAATTACTTAGGTCTTTACACATGAGAAATAATTTCTCTTGCACATCTCTTGGCACTTTGTTTTGAATTCAAGAGTTTTAGAAGTGGGTGAATTTACTTATTTCTCTCATCATGTTTAAAATCATATGTTTTTTTGCAGTACTTTTCCATTTGTCCTGTGATAGTTAATATTGTGCTTTATGCTGGTATGTTTTTGTTCGAATGTTTCCATGATGTTATGATACTACAGTACCATATTACTTTATAGATCTGGACAGTTCAAATTGTTGGAACTGTGATATAGATACTCCTTTAAGTTTTGTTGTCTGAGATCAATCCCAGGGGTAATGTCCTGATGATTGATGTGAAGGTTTTCATCCGAAAGTGAAATTAATTTCTTACTATTAAGCTACATAAATGGTAGATTTCTTACTAACCAAATGAAGAGAGATTGAGAGATGAGAGAGAGGAATATATATATATATATATATATAAAATTTGCATTCTACGTTTCTGTTGAGAAACTGCTGCTTTTATTTTAGTTAAGGAGTTTATTTTGGATCAATTGCCTTGGTCCCTGGCTCCCCGCATGGCTGCAGATATGAAATTTGGAAAGTTTTGAATATGTGATATTTGGAACTGGAATGCGCTAAGAGTAGGGAAAAAATATGCGCTATCTTGAATATGAACTCCCTTTGGAGTGAAAGGATTCACTGAAAGCTTGAAGTGGAGAAACTGGTGAAATTTTTTTGTAATTTGTTTAGTATCTCCTCTTATGACATACAGAACGATGATTTATACTTGGCACAATGGTGCTGAGAAATTAAAAAACACTGCCAAATTGGCCTCTGCCTTTTCTGCAATAACTTGCTCTGCCATCTTCAGTTATTCCAAATTTCTGTTTTCTAGTACAAATTGCAGTACTGTGGATTTATCTTCTGATTCATGTCCACCATGGAAGCTGTTCCCTGATGTCTGTTATTGTTAATGCAACAGGTGGACATGAACTCAGCAAGACTACTGGGAATGCAGGAGCAAGAGTTGGATGTGGTATGTATTTCACTTCTCTAGCCTTTTGTTGATGCAAGAAAATTGTTCTTTAAAAGCCAGTAGTAAGGTTATTGTTTCTCCCCCTTTCCCCTTTTCATCCCCCAAACTCTTTCCTATAATTGTTACATTGACTTTTTTGCAGGTATCATTGGCCTTAAGTCATCTGTTTAGAGAGAATTGCTTATGGGGCAGATACACAACCTAATAAATGTGGTTTAGTCCTCTCTCTTTCCATATGTGTTCAGTGTTCTATAATCTTGTAATAATATTATTATATTGGTATAGGAATGCTTTACTTGGAAAATTAATGCTTGCTTCTTCGTTAAGTTCGGTTTTGAGAAAACCATTCTTTCCCTCTTGAATGCGGTTTTTTGCTTAGTAAACTGGCAAAACTATCAATGTAGACCAACTTGAAAGTTCTGTTTGTTATACAAGTAACTTAGAGAAGTAAATTGCAAGTTCAGTAAGACTATATATCACGTGAAATGATATATATGTACATGCTATCTCTAGCAATATTGAAATCCACAGGATATTCTTATGCTTTTATATTTAGAAACAATGAAAGAATATTAATGCTTTGGAAAAAAAAAAAATTATATTAATGCACCGATACTCTCACTTGCAAAATGTGTGTATATCTTATGTACAAGTACTTCACGCATAATCTGTTCTTCAGTATTACAGACAACTATTTGGTTGAACAATGCCAGAAGTATTTCCATTTACATTGGTACAATGTGATTGAACCACTTGATTCCGGTAGGTCAAACTCACGTTTTCGAGTCGTATCCCACTGCATGGATTTGTTGCGCTGCAATCGAATTTTATTGCTACTGCTCTTCCTGATGTTCCTTGAATGTTTCGGTACAATACGTCACTGATTTTCACACCTGATGCCTGTAGATTGAACAGAGATGGAAATATGTGCATCGGACACAGTTTCCATTTTTTTTTTTGTCAAACTGGAATTACAATACCAGGGCTAAATGCCAAAGATACAATGCTAGAGTCCAAAGCTAATGGACAACTGCAACCAGAAAAACAGGACATACAAATACAAAGACTAGCGGAAACACAGGCAGGAGACGACCCAACCAACCGGTGGTGGCATCGTCAAATTCCTCACCAGTCCCAAACTAATATTGGGGTGGATCCATTTGATATGATAATATAACATCAAAATAGTACAAATTACTTAGTTTTATTACCTGAGCAGGGCAGTTGATATTGCGTGGGCAGTAATTTTGATCAATTACAATAGGATTTTGGACATTAAGCATTACAGCGTCAATAAATTGAACACCTTGGACAAAGCCGCTGCTAGGTCTAGGCCAAGACTTGATCCTCAGCCCATTTTGAGTACCCTTGAAAATTGCGTTTCTAACCGTCACATTTTGAACTCCTTCCTCTTCCAAGTCTTTGGCCAAACTTCCTATGCTGCAATCACCACACCCATGCATGCATAAGCCAATGCTAATACCAACTATTTTTTCATACAAGAGATCAGGGGGTGGGAATTTCTCTCACAAACTGTTAATGTGCCACGGAGTTTGAACTTGAGACCATTGGTCTGCAAGTCAAGGCCCTTTTCACGAGGCTAGACCCCGATGGCAATGCTAATACTAACAATAATTAAGTGGTTTAATTGCAACCTTAATATATATACTACATAGCTATGCAAAGCAGGAGCTAAAATCTAACCTAATGCCATGGCCAGGTCCACATGATATTTGTTCGACCCACAAGTCCTTCATGCCAGGGCCAATAGAGACGCAATCATCACCAGTTTTGATGGATGTGTTGAAAATTGCAACATTTCTTGACAACTGGACATGGATTCCATCAGTGTTTGGGCTATTGCTAGCCGCATTGACTTTGACTCCTCGAATGTAAACATCTTGGCAACCGTTTACCACAATGTGGAACATTTGGCTGTTCAATGACGTTAGTCCATTGATGCTAACGTTTTTGGAGTTTGTAAATCTCAAACTCTGCATTGGACGAGTGGTAGTTCAATTAGTTCTTAGTCAATAGGAAGAAACTTAAAAGAAATGAGTAAGAGAACATGATGAAGATACTTGTGGGGTAACTTAGACCACAAGCTTACACAAGAATTATCATTACAAGAAAAAGATAAATTACTAATTGTTGCTATGTTGGTACACAATCACAAATTGAATGTTTAATACTATAGCATGATAAAAAATTGTTTGACAAGAAGAAGCAAATTACTGACCGTGGCTCCGTTGGGACAACCAGTGCTTGCAGCTAACTTGCAAGCCCACAAGGCGGTACCTTTGGCATCAAGTGTGCCTCCAATGATGGAAACACCGGTAACTCGTTCGAAGCTGAGCCAGTTGTCAGCTTGGCCTAGAATACGGTAATCAGATGAAGCAATCAACGTTCCGTCGATCTGGAAAGTAATATCTAGGGTTTTGCATTTGTCACCGCTAAACTTGATAGCAGAGGGAAGCAAATACCTCCCTTTTGGTACACTTATGGTAGTGGAATCGTTGGAGGCACAAGCTGCAGACCATGCATCCACAAAAGCTTGGGTGGAATCCGTTGTACCATTAGGCTTAGCTCCAAAACTTAGGACATTGTAAATGAATGCACTCTCAGCAACCAGTGATTGTAGAATCATCAGTACTACAACTCTGTAAAGACAATTTGTAACATTCACCATTTTTCCTTCTCTCCCTGTTTTTTTTTTTTTTCTGTGTGAGAGGGAGTAAGAGAGAAATTAAAATACTGATGTTTGATGGTAATGAATGAAAAGTCAAATTTTGGTGGAAGGAATGAAGAGTGTTGGGGTATTTATAGTCTATATGGTACATGCATATATGCAATAATTAGCTAACTAGCTATGTTGATATATAAGGGATGTTTGTATAATATATTTATATTTGTATAGAGGATGGTGTGGGTTCTAAGAAATTAATGTATCATATTCAGAAAGAAAATAGAAAAATTAGGTATTAGACATAATAATCTTTACTAATAAGGATTTGATACACATGAATCAAATTTTGTTTTGGATATAGCCAAAGAGGACGCCCAAATTCATTAGGCATGTCTAAATTATAAAGGTAAAAATATAATTTTACTTTTTTTGTTTAAAAACCTTCCAAAATCAGATCTCCCCCTTTCTCACTCTCTCTCTCTCTCTTAGATAAAGTCGCAGCACAGTGACTGCCTCAGATCATGGCTTCTCGGCGCACCAGATGACAATGATGACGACGATGATCTTGAGTTCCGTTTCGCTCAGCCACTTCATGCACCTTCTTTTCTGTCCAACAGTACTTTTAATTAGAGCGTTCAATGGTCAAATTTGAGTTGAAAAACCAAGCATGGTTTGAAACCTTGGATTCGTGATCATGGTCGTTGATGGCAACGAGGAGAGCATGAACGCCTTGAGCTTGGCCCTTGACAACCTCAGGCTCTGATCCCCTACATCCAACTCCACCACCTCCGTAGGCCACTTCGTCATCCTCCACGTCCAATCTCCACTATCCATCGTCGCAGGCCTTAGTCCCCCAGCCATCCCCTTTTGTGGGCCCAGTTAAGTTCCATCGCCTCCCCCCATCACCATTGCACGTTTGCATTTGACTCAATGAATTTCATAGTGTTTTTTAAATTATTTTTTTGGGCTTGAAATTAATGAATTAACTCTCAATAAATTGATTTACCTGAATTTTTTAGTTTTCAGTTACTGATTTGATTTGATTGATTTAGGTCTATTTTTACTAGCTGCTGTAACAACCCAATCCTAAATTAATATTTAATTATTAATTTATTCTACAAAAAGACCACTATGCCCTTAGAATATTTTATTATGTTAAAGTTGACTTTTTGACTAAAAAGGAATTTGGGAGTTTCAACTACTTTATTGCATAGAGCACGATGAAACGAGTCTGTAGACATGTAGTGGGCTCAAATCCGAGTTGTTTTGAGGGAGATACAATCAAAATACGTTTAGGGGCAAAATGGTAATTTGCTAGGTCAGATTTTAAAACCTCTCTCTTCCCCTACGGGCACAGACCGGACTCTCTCTCCTCTCCCTCTCTCTCTCACCGACGGCTCTCACCTCTCTCTCTGAACTCCGACCAACCGGTCATGGCAACACGCATGGCCGGTGCCAAAAGGACCGGACCAACTCAAACGTCCCATCTCGGCCAATCTCGACCTCCAGCCGTTGCTCGTGTCTCCGGAGAACTCGAAGAAACAACCAGATTTTTGACAGGATTTTCATTAGCTTGATCTCCCCCCTCCGGCCGCCATTTTCAGTTATCAAGGTATGAAATCTGTCACATCTCGGGATCAACTCTGCCGTAGCACGATATTGTCCACTTTAGGCCCCCTCTCTGCCCTCACGGTTTTGTTTCTGGGAACTCACGAGTAACTTACCAGTGAGTCACCCATTTTGGGATTGCTTTAGCCCCAACTTGCTTAACTTCGGAGTTCCCATGACTTCGAAGGCAGTGAGCTCTCAAAAGGCCTCGTGCTAGATGGAGGCAAGCATGTACATATAAGGCACATCACCCCCTCTCCGTTGGTCGATGTGGGATGTTACAAAATCCCATCTACTCTTCGAGCTCTAGCTAATGGTTGGGTAGGATTTGATCAATTTCTAGCCTAGGTGAGTTGATTTTGGATCCAAAGTTTAGCTGGTTTTAGGATGGCGATTCTGGTCATTTTCAGCCATTTTACGAGGTAGGTCCAAGAACAAAAGTGCCTCTAAACGAGGTTTTACATCTAGGGTAGGAATCTTGGCCTGTGATTTGGAGTTTTTCCAGCGGCTTAAATTTTATTTGCACACCCACGCGCTGCCAGCGCATGGACAAGGTAGGTAGTGGGGGCCACATTTTGTCCTAGAATGATCTCCTAGTCTTCACAAGCGTGTAGGTACTTTCAGGTTCCAATTTGGTTAACGTTTGAACCCCGAACGGATCTCGCATATTGTGCGATTTCTGAGTTATGTTGATCTAGGTAATTCCAAGATCGTATAGGATTCAACGAATCGTAAAACGGAGTCTCGGATACTCCGAAAATGCCAACTGTAGGGCTAGGTTTATAGTAACCGTCCGATCATGCGATCGTGAGTAATCCAACAATCCCATTGAGACTAAACTCACGGGACATGTGTCCTAGGCATATTGGAACCTTTAGGGACTCTCAGATTTGTGATAGGAGATTGTGGGCCCCGAGGGTCCCGTTGACCAAGTTTAGGTGGGTTGACCCCTCGGTTGACCGTGAGCCTTCCGAGGTAGTTATATCCTTTGAGAAGTGTTAAAATGACCAAGTAAACTAGTACTGACCGAGAATGAATTATCTGGGTCATGTTACGGATTGAGTATAGGTAGTTATTTATCAGATTGTGGCATATACATTTTAAATATAGTTGAGAATCAAGTTATCAGAAAGTTGATATAAAGGTCGGGAACTGAATTGGGAAATAAAGGGAAAGTATTGATATAAGTTTGGGATATGGTTTTTCAAACCCACCACGAGGGTACCCCCTAGTTGCTTTGAAACAGTGTCATTTATAAATAATGCCCCACGTGTTCCGGGGACTTCTGAACCGTGTGGTGCGAGGAATGCGGGTTAGGCTGACCAATGGTCCCATGAGGCCTGCGAGGATTATGGCTCGGATAGAAGTGGTATCTCCAAGGCTTGCGAGGATTGTGGCTCAAATAGAAGTGGTATCTCCGAGGCCTGCAAGGATTTAATTAACATAGTAGGAATGGGGGTACGCTTAGGTGGAGAGAATTTCAGTTTTGAGATGTTCTTAAACTAATATAGAGAGGGAGTTCAATGCTAGGCTTATCTATAATCAGTATATGACTGTTACGAGTATTGGGAAGTTGCGAGTATTGTTTGAGTTGTGAATATGATTGAGTACATCACGCACATGAGAATTCAGTTTGATTTGCAAAACACATGGCAATATGACGAATGAATGAGATCTTCAATTACATTATTAAGGGGAAAGAACCACGTGTGGCTTGATCCCTCAGTAAGGGTACGTAGGCAGCCTAATTTTACAAGGTGCAGCCACGAGTTGGAGTCTTTGAGATGCTAATGTACTATTGTTATTCTGAAAGTTGAGATGAACTTTATTAGCAGAATGGTTTACTTGATTTGTTGAGACCTGAGGCCAGAATGATATGATGCTTGATTGCTTGGATATAATTAAATGCATGCTGAACGATTGAGATATATAAATGTTTGTTGACAAGTGGAAACTTTTGGGAAATGAGCAAATTACAAGGGAGACTCTGCCGAATTTTTGGCAGAAGTCTAACTGATAGAAAAATTAGTTTCTAAATAGAAGGGCAATTTGGTCATTTGTGCAGGCATTCGCTAGGTGTCGGACACGCAAAGGGTTCAGCTCGAATTCCAAAGTAAAATTTGGGTCGGATCTTGTCAGCTGTGGTCATGTATTTTTTTTTTTTTTTATATAGTTATTTTGGATTCTACATTGTAGTTTACATTTCTGCATTGCAGTTTCCATTTCCGTTTTAGTACTTTCATCATGGTTTTGCATTTTGGTTCCTCACTTATTGTTCACCCGTTTTGTGTTTATTCCTGAGATGGAAGGGCAAAGTTCCCCACTGCCTTGGAAACCATTGACTGGTCAACAACTCAGCTTTCTTTGGTGTATGAGCGTGTCACTACTAGCAATAAAGATTCTAGCATACTTCTTTAATAACGATAACTTGCGCCCCAAGTTACTGATTTCTAAACAAGCGATTATGAATTTGGGTGAGGAATATCTCCCAAGTAAGTTCTTTTTCTTGCCTCAGACTGGTGAGGACTTCACAATTTATCTCAGTATAAAATTGGTAATTCTGGCTAGAGTAATGGATAATAAAGTGGACTATTTTAGACAGAACTTCTCTTTACAGAGCTACAAAGGAAGAAATCAACTCTAGAAAAGCAAAAAGAAAGCTAGAACTCCATTCCTGTATGGATAGAAGCTTCTGAGCCGGGCTGGACTGGGTATGTCTGGGCTAGATTGGACTTTCAACAACTTCAACTGCTCAGTTTCAGATGTAGATCGATACCAAAGTTCAATTTTGGCAGAGCTTTAATCTACTCCAGGCTTTGGGAGACTTTTGAGCGGGCAGAACTGCGGCTTTTTCAGTTTGAAGGGACAGAAGTGGCTGTTCTTAAGAACCTAATGAGCTGGACACTGCACTGTGAAATTTGTTGAGGTTTTCATATTTCAGAAAACTCAAACTATGCTTGTCTTGGCTTTTGCCGAACCAAATTTGTAACAAGAGAGATCTCGTTTTGAATGACTTATTTCTTTAAGTCTGAACTTTGGGAATTCTAATCTAAAACTGGTTTTTCTTGTGGTTCAAGTGAGCTTTTGGCTGATTTTTTGGTTGTTTGTTTGATTGATGAAAATTGAGTGTGTCGATTCTGTTCACCCTCTCTTATATTTATAAGGAAATGCTTTGGAGTAGGGTTTCTTTCTTTTAATAATGGGCGGCAAAAATTCTCAAAAGATCTTTTCATTTTTAAATGCAAAGGAAGAAAAAAAGTTTTAATCAATTATGGCAGATAAGCTCTCAACAGTCAGTTCTCAAGATCACTTCCCTGTTTTTCCTGAAAGAGAACCTAATCCCTTTTTAATTTCCAACTGTCCCCCTGTGAGAGCTCAAATCGTGATGGTTAGTTTGATTCTCAGTTTGAACAGCTCCCTGTCTTCCTGCTCATCTCTTTTTGAAAACATGATCTACTTATCTTTTGGGAGAATCACCCTTTTTTGGAGTAGAAGAAATATCTCTAAATATATCATACATAAAAATAGGGGTTTGATCTTCTGATGGCAGAGATTTTAGAGAGGTCTTCTCCTAGTTTGCCTGCTTTTGATTAACAAACTTATCAAATCAGTTGAAAATGTTGACTTTTCAATGTCAGAGAAAAGAGATTTCACATGGGTCTGTTTTTATTTTTCTTCTTTCTTTAATTATGCTGGACCTGCTCTAATTTTTCTGGAATCAAACCAAGGGCTGGCTTGCTCTCTTCTTTTCAAGGCCCAAGTTTTTATTTTGCCACCTTTTGATAGATCCTGGGCTGGGTTCTCTTTGGATTTTTGGGCTTTTGATTTTCTGTTTATTTTGCAATGTCTGGATCTGGGCCCATAGTGTTGGGTGGAGTATATAATCTTGGCCCAATTCAAGGGAACGTTGGTGGCTGGTTTTAAAAAATTGCTATGGGCTTTCTGACCTTGGGCTGGGTGTGCCAAATTAAGCTCAAACACTTATTAATATGTTTATTTTTTCCCATACTCTGTAGTGTAGTTTTTGTTTCTATAAAATTAGTTTTTGTTTTTGTTTTTGTTTTTGTTTTTGTTTTGTTTTGTTTTTTTTGCTTTTTTATTTTTTTGTTTTGCCTTTTTCTATTTTGGTTTACATTATTGATATCTACATTGTTTTTATTTTAAAATTTCACTTAAATATGATAACTTTTGGTTTTTCTAGAAACTGCAGTGCATTTGTCGATCTA